TTTTTGTTTATTGTATTTAGCTTCACGTCCCCTGTCCTGTCATTATGTTAATTGTTGTCAGCTGTTTTCCCCATGTGCTTCCCCTGATCATTCCTTATGTGTACTTAATCCGTGTGTTTCTGCTCAGTCGGGGTCAGATCGTCTGTTATCGTCACCTCATCTTTTCATAGTTTTATTGTGTCACTGTTTCATAGCCTGCCTAGTTACTCTGTGTTCATAGTTCTTTCACAGAGTGTCTTAGTGTATTTAGGTTACACAGTGTTCTTGGTCTCCTTAGTTTTCCCAGTTTCAGTGTTCTCTGGTGTTTTTTGTCATGCCATCAGCCACAATAAAGGCTCATTTTATTTTTGGAAACCTAGTTTTGTCTCCACCCTGTCTGCATCTGGGTCTACCTCTTCTTCACACCGGCGCACCCCGCCGTGACAGAGAGTGATATACTCTGCACCCCCACTCCTCACGGACACAACAGGAGACGACCTTCAGGTTATCATCTAGCAGCACAAACATGAGCTACATTCTCTGAAAAGTCTGAAAAGTCTGCACTAAAGCTCCTGTTTATCACAGTTTCATTTCACCAGGAAATCCAATGACCTAAAGGCCTAAAGCACAGTATACTTTATATATATATATAAACCCTTAAAGCTGGCCTTTAATATTACCCTTTAATATTATGCTTTAATATAGTCTTTAATATATACTTATCAAATAGGCACTTGGATTATATTTTATAACAGTATTAGCTGCACTGTAATTTACTTACATTCAGTTTCCCCCCCTGATAATGCAGGATTTTATCTGAGGGTTTTTTCTTTTCCTTTCTTTGTTTGTTTCTTTGTTTAATAAAATGACTCATGTGTTAATCAAATCAGAATACTGTTAAAACATGTTGTGAAATTCTTTATTTCTAATATTGTAGACTTTTGCCTAAACTTGACATTTCTGAAATTTTCCCCAATAACAACTGTTGAATTTATGTCTTTGGGCTTGCCAGAGATTTTTTTCTTTTATGAACATACACACAAGGAAATTTAATTTGTCATTTATTACTGAACTCCATTTGTCATAGAGGATCTTAGCTCCATCCCCTTGCAAGTTTTTTGGTTCTCTGAAAAAGTGC